TGCATGCCACCTACAGAAATGCACTTTTCACAGCAGGCAAACTAAACAAGATAAGAAAGCTTGCTGCTCTCTTTGAACCCTGAACACCTGGAACTACAGAGCAACACATGAATTTGGAAAGTATTACAATTCTTTATACACACCCTTCAAATAAAAAAATCTCTGCTTTAAAAAAAGCACACCACTTTGTTACATGAGTTAGACAATAAGAACAGTGTGTCTGACTCTGCTACCACAGTTATAGAACATCATGCACTCAACAAGTATTACATAATTCTTTGTGCTGTCTGTCTGTAGGGAACATGTACCTATACATTTTCAAAAATTATTTCTCCTTTGTTTCCTTTGTACTGAGGCAAAACATGATCTGACAGATAAAAGTGCAATGCTGCAGATTCTTGTACGCAATCATGAGCAGTTCAGTCCTCACATTTCCTCATTCATGAGCCGCAGGGTTGTTTCCCTCTAGTCTCTGAAAATAAACCTTCTCACTGTAGCAGTGTCGTGACTGCGGCCTGAGACTCATACCTTAACACTGTGGAACAATGGAGCGAAATTCCCTCTTTGAGTTTGTCTGCCTATAAGAGAGCTGATAGAGTGAAGGCGTGCCTTTGAAAACTTGAGGAAGAAGGATGTTGTGTAATGTTTCTCACACGCAACTTATCCATTATATGAAAATCTATTGTTAGTGACAGAAATACTGTCAAACACGATGCATGTACAGCTTTATACCAAAAGAAACCAGCGTATGTGACTCAGATTTTGTGCTGTGAGACGTTAGACCACATACAGTACCTCATCCCTCACTTTCATCAGCAGACACTCATATGACAATCATGGTTTCACAGTAATTACTACAAAGACAGTTAAGTTGTTCTGTGAAATCACTTTTCTACCAGTAAAAAACATATCTTCAGCCTCAGTATTAGAGACAGACTTTTGTTTTGATGCTACATTTTTTTTAATCTGCTGCACAAAACACCAGGGACAAAGAGGAACATAAATCAAGAAAAGAATTACTGTTTTTACATTCAAATAAGAAAATATTTTAACTTATTCATAAAGTTTAGCGTATTTACTGAGTGACTTTAATCATCTTTGAGCCACTTAAACCTATATATAAGCACACATTATTATTTTAAAATGTTAGCAGTAAATTGTAGCCTATCTGTGTCTGGGATTATTCTGAAACTTGGTTCTCTTCACAGGTCAAGTAAACCCTATAATTACCAATACAATAACCTAAATTATGTAGTACTGTACTGTAGTTATGTCACTCTGACACCCACCCTTTATGTTACGTGTTGTTGTGTGGCTTATCAGTCTATTGTTAGTGTCATATGTTCTTTTTTTCCCCATTATGTTTATGTACAAATGCAAAACTTTTACAAAAACAAAATAAAATAAGATAAAATAAAATAGATCAGACTCTTTGGCTTCAAATTAACAAGCAACAAAAAATGCCAGGAAATTTGCTTATTTTCTGTCTTACTGAGAATTAGCTGAAAGATCATGTATCCCAGTGGCATATAACACAGCTTTGCCTAGCTCAGCACAAAGAATGGAAGAATGGGTAAACAGTTTGCCACAATCAAAACTCCAATAAATAACAATAAACAGTTCAAAGCTCCAACCAACTCCAGCTGCTCATTAAACCACAATGCCTCATTTTCTATTATCACACATGTTTAATATGAAGTGTAAACAGACAGTGCTTGGGTTGTTAAACCTGAGCTTGGCCAACTGTTTCCCCCTCCAGTCTTTGTGCTAAGCGTAATACATCACACATCTTCCTATCTTCTCAGCATACGAAACTGTAATTCATGTTGATAAGACAGCAAAATAAGAAAATATGCCAGACTATTCTTTATGCATTATGGATGGCAAAACAATGACAGTTCTCAGCAACATAAAACCACATGGTTCCCGGTGAAAGTTGCAAGCGAGGGAGATAAGATAACTTTTGAGGGTTTAAATAGCAGCCATAAATGAATGGCTGGCTCAACCTCTTAAGGGGGACCAAGTACAAAAATTTATTGTTGAGTTCCAACTGACCTTCACTGTATTAGGCAGTTTTATTATTTCTGAAGCCAAAAAGTCACTGATTTCAGCTTCTACACTGTGAATTTTTCCCAGTTTTACATCAAAATGAACTCCCCATTGTTGGGTTTTTGACCATTGGTTGGTCCAATTGATCACTGGACAAAAAAACGCCAATTTGAATATGTTCATTTGAGCTTCAGGGAATAATGATGGACATTTTCCTCTATTTTCTGACATTTAACACACTGACCAATTGATTGATTATAATAAAAATAATTGTCAGATGTTTTGATAATGAAAATAATTGTTGGTTGCAGCCTTAATGTGCTTCTGTGATTAAATAATTCTACCTTCCTGCAGTTTTCTGCATGCTAGACACATGCAATTTCATAAAACACAACTTTAGAACAAATGAGCTCAATATAAACTAAAACAGTTTGTGGCTCCTACAAGACAAGGAACAAGATGGAAGATCTGTCGTAGATGCTACTGTGCTTCAATGGTGGAAATTTCGAACAACTGTGTGATTAATAAACTTATGACTAAAATTATATGGAGAGTAGTAGTTACCCACTTTGCCCAACTGGTAATTCCAGTCTTGCATAAATGTTTCTAAGATACCAAAACAATATTAAAAATATCTTCTCTTACTGAAAAATAAACGGTGTCTGTGCACTAAGGTAATTATATTTCTCATTGAACTACTTCCCTTGAACAATATACATGTGGCCCTGGGCACAGATACAGTTTGAGATAAATGACAAGGCTGTTTGAATGCTTACTTTGAAGAACTGTAACTGCATATTCTGTGTGTGTGTGTGTGTGTGTGTGTGTGTGTGTGTGTGTGTGCGTGTGCGTGAACCATCTGGATTTGTTGGTGAATCACTTACAGACAATGAATCATTAATTGTGGTTAAAAGGACTTCCAGTTCATTCGTCTGTTGTTCTTCCTTCTTCCTCTTCCCATTCATCATCTACTGGAAATGATTGTTTATATTTATCAAGATATATAAACTTGGCTTGTTTTTTTTATACCATATTGTTTAAAAAGTGTGCATAGTGTATTAAAACTACTATAAGTATTTAATAGGAAAAAATAAACCCATGGCTAATGTAGAGTATAAAAATCAGTGTGAGGTTGGTGTTATTTTTATTATTGTTTATTATTATCATTTTATTTCTTCCAGGAATTTAAATTAATCAAAGCCACTATCTCTTTTTATTACACCACATGGGGGAATTCCTCACACACTAGGTTGAACAGGAATTACCACTACAGCAGACGGGGAATTCGAACCTTGACTCACCTGCAATGTAGGTTGTAAAAACAATATAAGGAGATAAACTTATAATGTATTTTAAAAGGAGAGCATGGTATTAATTGTACTCTGACAGATCAGAACAGGTTTAGCAGGTTTTGTAAGTTCCTTCTCACAACAACATCTGCTAAAGGCATTACATACATATACATAACATATTTAAGTATTTGATTAACCATGTCAATAGATTATTACCAGGTGAAGTGCAACTTGTTTCTGTAAATACACCCTAAATCAGAGAAATGACTACATAGTGTGAAAATAACATGAAAACAACCTAAATGCAGCTTGTCATACTGTATAAATATGGGGTAAGTAAGGTGTCTTATTTCAGTATTTGTGGTATGAGCTGTTGGCTGTGTGACACACCAAACATACATCTTAAAAGGCCCACAGGGGATTTGGTTAAAGAAAGGGTTTGTGTTGATATTGAACAGGTCAACAGAATGAGTTATTTTCTTGAATCGATTACCACTGAAATACCACACTTGAATGCTTAAATCAGCACTTGTCTATTTAGTTTTTTGTTTATTCTTTTCAAGCCACCTGTTAAATCTATGTAGCCCTTTGTCAAATGAGCTTACTGTAATCTGATTTGTTTTATTTTTAGCCTTCAGATATGAGAGTATGCCATGCAGGTCATATCTTGTAAAGCAAACAATATTACGCTTCAGGTAAAATGACCTGATCCAACCCATATTCAGTGAGGTAACATGTGTTTGCTACGTTGTGACAACATGCTGTACATTTGCTTAAGGGACACACAAGAATAACAAACCCAGCACAGTGGGCAAGTGACCCAGGGGCCTGGAATGATCCCGGTTTAATGTATTTCTACAGGTTTGTGACACTGTGACATAACAAGGGCCTGAAAGTTGGTCCTGCTATATTAACTGATCTTTAAGCCCTGTCTTGAGGAAGATCCCAGGGTCAAAATCTTCTTTATTTTATTTTAGCTTTGTACTTACTGTATATGTTGCTATTTCCTAAATCTATGTTAAATAAAATTACCACATAGGAAATCTGAGGCTGATAGTTTTTTCCATCTTAGAAAAGCTATACACATTACACAAAGAGTGTTAGGAACAGGGTTTTAACTGAGGCTCATTTTTTTTGCCTCTGGCCCTTCTATGATAGACAATCTGCCCATGGTGATTGCTTATTGTACTTGCATGAAACATTACCTTGTTTAGATTTAAGAGAAGGTTTTGAGCATACACCTTCATCATTTTTCACGGACTTTGTGCACCAGTTTGATATAAAACTCATTTCCAAATCTTTGATACAGCTACTGCATCTTCGATAAGAGAGATTTTCAATTAGTGCTACACTCCTGACACTTGGTGGTAACGATGCGTCACTACACGTTAAAACGGCCTGTATCAAGAACTTCAATCGATTATCTAGATGGATTAATTGATTAATTAACCTGTTTTTCCAGCAGCATATCGTTGTATGTTACCATACTTGTACTATATTATCAGCGTGGCAGCGATTGTTTTGTCGACACAAACGCTAACGGTGCAACTTTCCCTTTAAGAAGTCTGACTGATGCTCAGCGCCCAATCGCGGCGCGTAAACTGAACTTTGTTGTTGTCAGCAGCTACCAGCTAGTTGTAAGATAGCATTAGCCGACCGGTTAGCTAGCAGGACTATATCATCATTCTTATTCGTCCTAGTAAAGAAGTGGAGCCCCGTTGTATTTCGGTTGTGACGGTCAGAACAGCAACAAGTCCCTCTTACCGGGTCAACGAATTTAGGAAAGATGACTTCTGCATTGGTGAGTTTAGCTGCCTGGCACTTGTTACTTCAACCACGGAGCTGAAGTGCGTTTCGTACTGGGGGTTTCACACTGACCACTTTATTAATAGTAAAAGTTAGGAAGAAACAGGAGATTCATAGGAATAAACGATTATTTTTGACATGAAATTGGAACTTTCTCTTGAGCATAATTTACTCTATTCTTAGTCCTACTTGTAACAATTTCACTCTTGTTGTATCTGGCCTCAATGCGGTGTCTCAAGTTATTTCAGACACTGTTTTGATGTAGTGGGTGAATCAGTAATTGCCAGCTCTGTGGATGAAATAGGTCACTCTGAGACTAGGGGGTTAATCATGCCAAAAATATTCATTTTGTGTTTTCAAAAATATCTTAAATGTTGCAAGGCTGTCCATGTGCAATACCGACCCCAGGTTAATCACCTTAGGGTCTACTGAACAACTCCTTCTAAATGATTATTGCAATCTACACATTTACACGTGTAATGAAGATAGCTTGTGGAGGTTGTATGTTAAATAATGTAAAAGTAACTACATTGTCTCACTGCAGTAAATTGTGCTTTGGTGTCTCACTTTCACTTCATGCATGCTGATTATGTGTCATATTTAGGTTGTAGTTAGACATTTGATACGTTTCTTTCAGATTTTCAAGTAATCATGCTTGTTTTTATTAGTAGACAAACACTCAACATAAATCTCAGTAAATTTTTGGGTTAATTTTTTATTTATTTTTGACATAAACAGTGTAAGGTGCACCTGAAACTATTTCTGAAAATGTTCAGCAAATGAGTTGCAGAATGTATATATATATATATATTAATAATATATATATATAGCAACAAGTGAAAGTCATAAGAATGTGTGTACCAAAATTTAGGAGAGAAATCAACTTCAAATCCCAAGGAAAATTGCACGAATAATCAGATAATTGTACAACTCAAAATCATGTTGCCCATGGAGATGATGAGCTAGCAGTACATTGGAGGGAGTCTTAATGGCCAAAACAATTTGAATATTACATTTTAAGAACTTTTTTGGTTATCAAGAGATGAGGATGAAAATTTGTGAATTATCTGCTTTAGCTTTGCAAATAACAACTATTTTCATAATTGATTAATCCGCTGATTATTTTATTGATGGATTGTTTTGTCTATAAAATGCTTGAAAACGGTGAGAAACGCCCATTAATTTCCCACAGACCAATGTGACACCTTTATCTGTTTTGTCTGATCAATTGTCCAGAATCCAAAGATATTCAATTTGCTATCTTTATAAAGAGAAGTATCAAATTCTCATAGAGCTATAAATAGAAAATACATTACATTTCTGCTTAGAAATGGAAAGAAATTAGTATTTGAATAGCAAAATAGTTGACGTATAATTTTATGTAAAGTGACTAATCACTTAAACGACTAACCATTGCACTCTTCTCTGATTACTTTGTGGTGTGACTTTTATTGATTTTCTCCGGAAATGACAGCAATGTGGAACAAACTTCGTCATAGATTTTTTTTAAATGTATTTATTTACATATATAGAATATAAAAACACAAACGCAACTTATAAAAAAGTACAAAGCTTTGATTAAAACGTGAAGGATCCCCGCCTACACAAAATACAATCCATCACATCTTTCCTAAAAATCCCCTTCACTCCACAGTGTTAACTCTCGACGCCATGTTTGTCGAAGTGTCTCATGATAACGCCTAGCTCCAGCTCCACAGTCCCCATGGCTTCGGTTTGCAGTCTGTATCTGTCCGCCCCGTTGTATATGAGGTCCGGGCTGCGGAGCTGTGGTCCTCCGCCGACAAACATTTGTGCCAACTGCTCCTGCCAGGATCCGAGCGGCCTCCAAGTCACACAGCTTATCCGATGATGTCCGGGGCTAGACGGGATGTGGCAGTATCCGTACCCGTACAACTGGCAGCGCCCGAAAGAGTCCTGGTGCCAAACTTGAAGATGAAGCTTCGGCCAGCCTTGAAGTCCCTTTGTCGCGTAGTGCAGATCAATCGGGTGACTCCAGTACGCCATGTCTCCGATTTGGGGTATATCCACCTGGGTCTGACCCTCCTTCAGCCCGGACAGAAGACGCCATGCTCCTCCCGTATGAACTCCCCATTTGCAAAACAGGCTGTTCTGCGGGAACCCACTGGCCCCGACGATCTGGCCGATAATATGCAGCTCTGCCATGTCACAAATGTCCCCTTACACAAATACATGCGGCACCGAAAGTCCTCTTTCTCCGAGTTTAACTGCTAGCTGTGATTAGCTTCACAGCTCTCGTCTCCTTGGTAACTCAGCCTGATTTACTGTGCTGTCGTATACCCTCCGTTTCGCCTCTCAGGCAGCACTTCCTGTCAGGCTGCTTGCACATCCCACATTTTTAAATAGGTTGATAAACACCAAAGCCCAACGTGTGCCATATTAATGTTAGTTTTTACAGTATACGTGAAAAAGAGCTATTTTAATTGGTGGAGGCTCACGGTAGGAACTGGTGCCTGACAAGCTAAGTGCAGGGGATTTTGTCCAGTGTTTGACTTGTTTCCTTGTACGGCATCGTTTATAGAAGAAAACCCGTGAACTGGACACAAAATACTACAACACTTCGTGTTAATTCCTCATAATGAAACACTGAGGATGACTTAGCAGCTTCACTGCTAAACTAAAAACGAGTGTTAATTTGTTGGTTTCTCTAGAGTTTATATCGGCTTTGGATTCTAGAACCAGTACACTGCGAAACAGCGCCGCTCCACGGTTGTAGTGCCTCCAACTTTCACTAGATCTTTTTGTAGCAGAAAATTCACCATACGTTTGAATGCAAAAATTTTGGCCATCCCTGGGCAAATTACAAGAAAAACAGTAATTGTGGCATCTGCAAAAGTTTGTGCACCCTGCTAAGTCAGTACTTTGATACCCCCTTTCGGCAGATATCACATCTTGCAAACACTTTCTAGCCAGCAAAGAGACTTTCTATTCTGGATTCATGAATTTTCCCCCTCTTCCTTGGTAATCACTTCAAGTTGTGAGATATCTTTAGGCTGTTTTGCACACACAGCATGTTTAAAATCTATCCACACATTTTTGTACTAGTCAGGGGACTGTGAGGGCTGCTCCAAAAGTCTCAGCTTGTGCTAAATGTTGTCCAAGCTTTTGCACATGCCATAATTACAATTAGTTAATTTTTTTTCTATTTTTAAGTTCATGAAATAAAAAGTAACAGTGCATTAACAGTCCCTGTCTTCAGTGAAGAAAGACCTATCTTTGAGTGAGCACATACTTTGTTCAGGCGTCCTAATACTTTTGGCTACATAATATATGCAGCTGGATTCACAGTAGCATTTTTATGACAGTTCTCAGTATGTGTATTTTACCAGCATTATTGCATTACTTGCTGACAAACTGTCAATTATGTCACACACCCACACAGTCCAGAAAGAAGTACATAAACAGTTTTTGAGTGTTAAACTCTTAATAAATGATACACAAGGGTGAAGTTTTTTAAATATTGAATGTTTGAATGTTTAATTGTAGAATACTTAACATTTGAAACCAAGTTTTCACTGGCTTTAATATGTCACTGCTGCAAACAATCTCTCTGTCTCTTTGTTCACGTAGTCTGATCCAACCCTAGAGAGACATTTCAAGGGTCACAGGGACACTGTGACAAGTGTGGACTTCAGCTGCAACATGAAACAGATTGGTAATTACTACTACTTCCTTCTCTGTCTTTGTGTTTGTCTGACTGTGGCGTCTGCGTCGCTGTTGTCTTTTTTATTTTGTGTGTATTTTTATTCTGTGTGTTTACTTAATTCACTTGTTCCACTTCCTCCACCAGCCACAGGCTCCATGGACTCCTGTGTGATGATCTGGAACATGAAACCTCAAATGCGAGCGTATCGCTTTGATGGACACAAAGATGCTGTCACCTCTGTTCAGTTTTCTCCCTCTGGCCACCTGGTGGCCTCCGCCTCCAGAGACAAGACTGTACGTCTTTGGGTGCCCAGCATGTAAGTTATCTGTTATCTGTTAGAAAGCCCCCACAAAGGTCAATGATGCTGGCTCATAAAAGCAACAAAACTAGACAGTTTTGCTGAATACAGTTTTTCTACTGCTTCTGCCAGTACGGAGGAAGGCACACATTGCAGAACACCCACTGGGTTTGATTGTTCTCTTAAACTTAAGTGTTGTCTTGGTGTTTGCATGCGTTTACAGGAAGGCTGAGTCAACAGTTTTCAGGGCTCACACGGCTACTGTGCGCAGTGTTAACTTTTCTGGTGATGGACAAACTCTGGTCACAGCCTCTGACGACAAGACCATCAAAGTGTGGATGGTCCACAGGCAAAAGTTCCTGTTCTCTCTAAACCAACACATCAACTGGGTCCGCTGTGCTAAGTACGATGCACACATACACATACACATACAATTATACAATAAGTGTTAACAATTAGTTCTAATTTATTACTGCAGATATTTTGACTTATTCTATTGTTTGTTTTATTTATTGCATTTACATTTGAATATACAAATATTCTATACATTTCTGAATTGTTTTATAGCGTAAATGAATACATGTCATTACCAAAATTGTAGCTGGAGACTTGGCTTATGGCCAGTTTTCAATTTACAATTTAAAATTTTCAATTTTGATTTACAAAAATGTATTTCCTGCAGGTTTTCTCCAGACGATCGTTTGATTGTGTCGTCCAGTGATGATAAGACTATAAAGCTGTGGGACAAGAACAGCAGAGACTGTATTCATTCTTTCTATGAACATGCTGGGTGAGTGTGTGTACATGTGTGTGGGAGAAAGAAATGCAGTAACCAAAAGAGAGCCACCTTTCACCTGGTATTTTTTGTAGAAAGTATAGGATTTATAGCATTATGTACTGTAGGTAATGTAGTGTTTTTTGGTTTGGTGGATGGTGAGCAATATGATCATTTTAGATGATGTCATTGTAGTTGTTTTTTTTTTTTATAAATGCAGAGTGACAAAAAAGATGGCAGGCCCCATAATCATGTGTCCTCTTGTTAAAATTCTGCTGACCAAGGCACTGAACACCTGCTCACTGATTAAAAGCTTCTCCTAAAGCATCAGCTAAAAGCGTCATATGTAGACTGTTTTTGATTTTAGTTGAATTATGTAAAAAATATTCAAAGTAATACATTTTCTTTTATGGATGTGTCAGAGTAAGCACTGTAAAAACTTGACCAAATGCCTAATTTCACTAAATCTCATATGTCCTTTCTCCCAAGTTATGCAAACCATGTGGATTTCCATCCCAGTGGAACTTGCATTGCTGCTGCCAGTACTGACAACTCGGTTAAGGTGTGGGACATCAGATCCCATAAGATGCTACAACACTACCAAGGTAAAGACACCTCAGAAAGGTTACATTGCTTACAATGAAGTCATTTACTACAGCAAAACCACAATTTGCATTCAAACAAAACACATTTGTAGCTTTAATGCAAAGTTGTTATTTGCTTTAATAAATAACAACCACATCGACCTTGAAGACAAGCATTTGCTACATTTTTTTTGTTTCAAGACTTTAAATTAAGCCAATCCCGATACCTTATACCTTATATATTAGGGTTGGATGTATGCTGCTTTTCCCGAACCCAATGGAAGGGCTAATATGGCAACTCTTGACATCCAATACCACCAGCTAAAGTAGAGCCTCACCTTTAAACACAGTGAAGAATGCAGCTGAGGTTTACAACAAATAACTGAAATAACACCAAGATAAAATTAAGCTTTAAAGTTTGTGATTAAAGTGGTAATAAAGATTCATGATTTCTTGCATATTCAATAAAGCAAATGTTGATGCCTTTTTGTTAGTCTGGTACTCAGTCTGATTGTTCTAATCAGCTCTCTTAAATGGATTTAAGCTGTGAGATCTAATAATGGATAATCACATCTGTCTGAGGAGATTGAGCATGAAGATAAAAGCTTTTCCTCTCCTCTCCTCTGCTCTCCCCTTCTCTCCACAGTGCTGCACTTCACATGCTGTAGTTAATTACCTTTTTAGCCAGCCTAAAGTGTTACATTTGTGGTTAAAATGTGGTGCGGTCACTGTTAGATACCCATGAGAATTATTAATATTTGCAAACAATTGCAGATAAATGTTCATAATGTAGGCTTTAAACCTCCCGATTAGAAAATCCTCTGAATACTGCTTCTGTAAGGGGTTATGTATGAATAGTCAGTATGGTGCAGGATGTTTAGTTTTCTTTTAGCCGTCTTAACTTGCTGTTGAGCGGTTAATTCACCTGGCTTTGTGTTTTATTGTAGTGTTTATCCTGCATTGTATCCTTGCATGAACCTAAGCCATATAAGAATGTGTCATAGCATCTTGCAGCCAGCAGAGGGACCATGTTGTTTGTTAAATGTCTGCTGCTGTCCTCATTTGTCTCCACCAAGAACCCATTCACCACATGTTAGAATCATTTCAAGCCTGAGGAACTTTAGATTATTCGGTATAGGCTACTATACTAACGTAAACCTGATGGTAAGCCATTCTCAAGTTACACAGCAACTAGGGTGGCGTGATGTGCAGCAGTGGGATCAAGGCATTCATGCTAGCAAGCATCTGGCCTGCTGAAGTGTCCTTGAGCAAGACAGTGTACTCGTAACAGTAACTGAGGTGCTGGACGTAATCGATCAAGTCCTTTGACTTCCTGTAAAGAGAGGAAACAAGAAAAAAAAAAACGCCCTGCTAGAATCAATAAAGTATAGAATTACTTATGTTTAAGTGTGACCAACAATATATTTTTTTATCTTATATTTGTGATATATAATTCTTACATTAGATTAAATATTTTTAGGGTATTGGACTGTTGCTGGATGCAACAATGCAAGTTTTACAGACCAAAGTATTAATCAAGAAGTAATTTGCAGATTAATCGATAATGAAAAAATCATTAGTTGCAGCCCTCGTCATAATCAATTTAATTGTCATTATTTTGATCTCAATGATGTTTAATGATTCCATGTTATTTCACAGGAGTCTGATGTGGTTTTTACAACTTAAGTCTTAAATTGCAGAAGAATAAACTTCAGTTCAGTCAGTTATAAAGTGTGTGTGTGTGTGTGTGTTTTGTTTGTTTGTTTTCCAGTCCACAGTGGTGTGGTTAACAGCTTGTCTTTCCACACGGCTGGTAATTTCCTCATCACTGCGTCCAGCGATTCCACTGTGAAGATACTGGACCTTGTAGAGGGCAAACTACTGTATACACTGCATGGACACCAGGTAGACACACACAAACACACACATGAGCACACCAATACCATTTACATATCCTGCAGGCCTAACTGCGCAGTTTACCCGGTCATGATCACGATAGGTCATGTCTGTACTCTGCTCTGCTGTTTCTGAGTTTGTGTATTTATTGCCATTTATTTTGTGTGTGTGTGTGTGTTTGTGTCGAGGGTTCAGTGTGGACAGTTATGTGTGACTGTGTTTGACATCTCCTTTGTGCATGTTTGATTCTCTGAAGTGTGTATGTGTGTGAGTGTGTGTGTATGATGCTTTTTTTTGTATGCGGTGTATTTTAGTACTTGCCAGGCGAGCGGGCAGCCCACTCATGATGACTCATCTCAGGGTTGTTGGAAGGAAACAGAACTGTGTTTCTGCCTCCATTCCTCTGGATCCTCTCCTCCTCTTCTTCTCTTTATCCTCCTCTCTGTTTCCGTCCCGTCCTTTTTCTCTGACTTTAACACGCCTCTCTTAATGTCCTCGTGTTCTGGGGATGTTTCAGTGTTGCCACCATCACTTTCCTCTTTTTCTTCTCTATTTGCCCCTACCTCCTCCCTTTCTCCAATGTACTCTCATTTTGGCCGGCTGGACTAGTTGGCCGGACGGCTCGCTGACTGTATCGGTTTGTTTGAACAGCTGATGAACTGGCTTGCTGGCTAGTTGTGGAAATCAGTGGCTTGCCAGTACCACATGTGGTCCGTCTGTTTATCTATGCCTCTGTACACATTGCCTGTCTCTCATTCTTGTCTTTTTTTGTCTGTGTCACCTGTGTTGCTCTCCAGCCATTTGCCAAGACTGTTCTCTTTGTCAAGTAAAAAAACTCATTTTTTTCCCCCCTTCTCTCTTCACACCTCCAAATTTGTCATCTCCTGCGCTGTCTCCGTTTCTGTTGTTGTTCTTTTTGGCTCCGTGATGACTCTGCCAATCTGTTGGTGCTGGGAGCTCACAGGGTGTTAATTGTCTCTCCAATCGCATAGCTAGAGATGGGAGAGACCCCCATCTGTTTGGTTTATGTGTGTTTATGTGTCTGCTTGTATGTGTTCTGCTGTGTTTGTGTGGAGGCCTATGTGCATGTAATGTATGTGAAAACACACAAGGGCTCTGAGGGAGTGTTTTGCTGTTGGATCTGACAAATGTGTTGTTTACCAAGCCTCAGGAGAACCTTACCTGGCTCATGTAAACTTAGGTTAATTTGTCTCTCTGCTTCTCTGTCTAACAACTGACTTTCAAGGTGTGATCCAAAACTTTTTATGTAGTAAGTCTTCAACTCAAGACATAGGCTTTAGCTTTTAAATACCCCATGAAAAAGATGAGATGCTAGTGTTGTTCCATATTTTGCTCTTGCTTGAAAGTGGTTATATGGCGGGACATAATGTCAGGTTAGATTTGATTTTAGAAATCAAAAATGAGGCATGCCAAAATAAAATAGGCACTGAGAGCCTTATTCAACAATGTGTATAAAGTAAATGTCCATATGAACCATTAGAAGCACCATTTAGCAGTGTTTTTAAGGTGGATCCTGTTTGTGTCTCATTCACATACACTACATACGCACATATACTGTATACAGGGTGCAAGCTGGTGACGGAATACACAGTCCCGCCAATGGTTTCATGCTCTTTCAATGATTATCAGTCGGCGGTTGGTGTAACATGCTAAGAAATACACTGCAGTGCACCAATAACAGCAAATTAGAAGCAGACTTCTTGTTAGCAATCGTGGGTGTGAACAATTTGAACCATAGGCATTAAATTCTTCCAGAACTACTTGTTGCAGATCTTTTTTGAGTAAGAAAGATGCATACAGTGTGTTGTGGTGTGAAACAGAATGTAAACTCTGCAGGGTATCCTTAAGAAAACTGGATCCAGTGTACCAAGATGGTTTCTATTCATTCCATTGACATTTGCTACATCTTCAGGCTTTTTCTGCATTTTATGGCCCATAGCACATGTGCGCATAAGTGTTTCTCTGGCTGAGCAGGCCATCATCTTGCACATGAATGGCACAAAAATACAGAAAATATATGACTGGTCATAAGTGTTGAATTATATTGGGCCTAATGATTCAATTAGTGTGTGTGGAACAAGTCTTTCTGATGAAGAGCACATCACTTGTCGTCACTTTGCCTCCTCCATCACTCCTGTTACCAAGGAGTTGGATGAGGGCTAAGACGATAGACATGATTTTATACCCAGGATATCTTTTCTTTATCTGGCTTCACTGGGCCTAACATTCGCCATCCTGGCGTCCTGGATAACATGTACTACAAAGCTGGTTATCAAGTGGCTCAGTTAAATCTCGGTTTTCCTCTCTGGCTACAAGCATGTTCATTTGAAAGAGGCTGAGTTGTTTATTACAAGCAACATTGTCAGAACCATGAATAAACTAGTTAATATGCTATGAAAAGAAACAGTGCCACCTGCAGGTAAATTCAGTTACAGCAACATCCAAAAGGTGGAAATGGTGAAATGTAAACGAACTAGAATATAAATCAATATAAACTAAGGATATACTGTAAATAAGTGCATAAATTATTATTAAGTTTCTTGCTGAGTGAGTATTTTTGCTCTTTTGTCTGATGATGAACAAACTATTATTAACATGTGATGCAGAAAAAAGAAAATTAAAGTAATGTGGGACTGTTCCTGCTGCCAATGCGGAGAAAAGTCTGATGGGGTTTGAGATCTGAATAAAATGTTCATTTATAATCATGGGAAATATTTAACAGTGTGGGGATAATTTTTCAAATATAAGTCATCTAAGGGTTTAGTTTTTATTTCCACTTATTGTCTCCTCACATTATTCTGAGCTGCTGTGATGGAAGGCAAGTGTAAAAGAATCTTTGTTCAATTAAAATGAAGCAATAATAGTTATTGTGTATTTATTAAGTGTGGTAAACTCACTCCCTCTCTCTGTGTTAGACGCTCTGTTTAAAAAGCAGAGTGGACACATGAAAAGACCTAAACAGCAAGATGATTTGACTGATCTTTAAACATATCCATTGGTCTTTATTAGCCTATTTGTCACTTTATTGTAAGCTCTTTTGTTCCTGATGTAGTTGTTCCTGTAGGAATTATGACGCATTTTTCCCAGGAATCTGATTAGCCAGTAGTTGGGCTGTTGACAGGTTAGAATTAGGTGTAATTTACCATGGTGATTTACCCCGATAAGAAATGAACCACCGGCATAACCCTGAAAAGCCAGAGTTAAATCTAAAATTACCTTGCTAACCCACAGTACAGACGTCAAGAGTCAGGCTATGTAATGTGTCAGCGCACACAGATATTGATGTTGATGACGCTTACATGTAAACCTTCAACAAATTACTGCTGTTAATTCCAGTTAAAGGAGAAAAGTAGACCTGCAGTTTTTATTTTTATGAGAGCAGGGCGTTACTGTAAAAATCTGAAAATCTAAGATCAGATTTTATTGGTTGGAATTTTAATATGCTCCTGAGTGCAAAATGTTTAATATGTGTTTACAGCAGGAGAAAAGGGCAGAAATTGAATGAAGAACTAGACAAAATGCATACCTTGAAGCCATAAGAACAGTTGTGTAGTGATGCACTTTGGGGTTGCAACTATTATTTTTATGTTGATTTAATCTGTCAATTATTTTTTGATTAATCAATTAATTGTTAGTGTATAAAATGTCAAAAAAATTGTGAAAAAGAAAATTCACATAACCCAAGATGACATCTTAAAATATTTGTTTTTGAATGATTAATCAATTATCAAAATAGAAATTTTCTGTCAGTCAGGTTATCCATTAATCAGCTGATTGTTTCAGCTCTAATGCACTTACCTCATTTATTCCCAATACCAATTCTGATAAGTAAGGTTTAGTACTGGCTAATACAGTGTACCCATGTGAAGTAGTGTGAAGTGCTCTCTGTCCTTTTCCTGTATACCTCCTTTCTAAACTGTGATCTGAGACATTCATAATCAGTCTTCTTTACACTTGTGGAAATTTAAATTATTATTGTTTTAGAAACATAATAACACTGCGTCATCACAGCTTTATAGCAACATGGACTATGAAACAGTATTTTAAGTGGATCAGTGATAAACATAAAGTATTTATTACCACTCTTAGAGATATATTTTAAAGAAATAACAGTCTCTTAAATAAAACCAGTCCGAGCATGGTATGGAGTGCACCATGTGGGGCCTGTCTGGTTTCTGCAATTCCTGTTCATTTATTAGTACATAAAATTTGCCAGTTAGGTTCACTGCCCTGTCAGACTCTGTGTGTGTGTGTGTGTGTGTGTGTGTGTGGGTGTGTGTGTGTGTGTGTGTGTGTGTGTATCGCGCGTGCGTGTGCGTGTGTGTGTGTGTGTGTGTGTCTGGCCATGGCGAGTGCCAGCCTGGCAGCAGGCATTAGTCAGCGCAGAGACAGAACATGCTGTCTGTCAGGCCGTCGCGTTGCCATAGTGACACTGTCTGCTTCTCTCAGGTGCTTCTGGGAAACCATTCCTCACCCAAACCAGCCTGTCTGGGTGCCAGCCACAGGACACTGCTCCTTTTTTTCTTCCCAGCAGCGTCCCTGTCCGCTTCTTTCCCCTTCTTTTGTTTGCTCTTTCCTTCATCTTCTCTTCGAACACAGTCAGAGAGCTCAGGCTGTAACCGTTGACCCCGTTCTGCATTGTAAGGTAGAGAAAAGAATAAACCAAGAGAGAGTGTGATTTCTGTGTTTTTAAAGCTGGATCCTGTCTGCGCTGCAGGTTCAAGCAAGCACACTCAACCACACGCACACGGCATGCCAAACTCCTGACATCCCCAGGTGATCCTTTTTTGCCTCTGACCATGAGTGACCTCACCTCAGTCTCCGCTTTCCGTTATTGATTGCTCTGCTACAGTCCCACACACCCACCCCCCTCCTCCACACACCCACACACACAAATATCCATGAGCTTCTGTTCTGAGCAAATTTTGTTTCCTCTGATGGTTTAAAATAGAGTTGTTCTGATACTGATGCTAGTATTGGAAAGGCCTCTGATACTGCCTAAAATACGCTGTTGGGTATCAGCGAGTATGCAAGTCTGTTCACTGATCTGTTACCACGTAATTTATTAATAAACTTTATAAATTCACACCTGGATAAAATTGCAGTTTCCCCTAAATCAATTCTTCTCTGCTATAAAACAGTTGCTTTCAAAGGAAGTTGTGCAGTGCATCCTTTGAAACCACTGTTCTGTATTCTGTATTTAGATTATGTAGTGTTTACTTTCTTGTATGTTCTACATAAACACCTACACTTTGCAGCAACTGTATATTGCTTGGCAGAGGAAGAATATTAAATTATTCATATTATTCAAAGTTACTATGTGTAGGATGTGAAAATGAATGAATGGGTTGGAACACATAGACAGTTACACTTTCACAGGGATTCTTTCATTTTTTAGCGTTGAAGCTAATCATTTAGTTTATAAAATATTAAGAACTGGTACAAAGAAAAATCCAAACGTACCCATCACCATGTTCAATGTTAAGTTGCATGTTTTGTTCAATCAACTGTCCAGAAACCAAAGATATTAATTATTATTACATAGACAAAAACAAACAGCAAACTTTGACAAATTGACAAATTTGACAAATCATTTTAGCTCGCAACATGAGATTTGGACTATATTTGCATAGATCTGACCGTGTTTGTTGTATTTTTGTTTATTGCGTTTTGCTGACTATGAAAGTCAATAGTTCATAGTGACACAGATTTTTCTTTTCTTTTCAACTTGAGCAAACAGTTTGCAGCTAAGCATTTCAGGATGCTTGTCTTCGTAAGAAGGATCACGCAGAACTGGGATATGATTTCACTGTTGCGTCACCTTCATTCTCCATCTCTCTGGTTCTCTTTCCCTTCCTGCAGGGTCCAGTGACCTGTGTGGCCTTCTCCAGGACAGGAGAGTACTTTGCCTCTGGAGGCTCTGATGAACAGGTGATGACCGGTTTTTCTAATTGATCCTAAAACATTGAACCAAATATAACCAGATTGATCGGCTTGCTTGTGTCTCGGTAGTCAAAAGAACAAAATGACCCAAATGAATCAATACCCTGTGAAAGAGAAAGCAAAACTTATTCATGTTGCACATTTCATTCTTTGTTTATACGGTTGTTGGTCATTTGACTTTGGTGTATTATTTTAGAATAAGCAACAATTTATATTCACCCTACAGGTAATGGTGTGGAAGAGCAACTTTGACTGCAGTGAGTGTGGTGACACTGTCAGGCTACAACATAAAACTGCTTCCAGCATTCAGGCACCACCAGCAAGCTCCACGGCTCATCTCCCCTTTAACTTGAATCCATCTGTGCACCGCAGCCAGGTAAATTCCGACAGCTGGAGACAAGCACAATGAACTCACAGCATTTAATGCATCCCTTTTGCTCATTTACAAAAATTAGTTTTTTATCCTAGACATTGACACACACAAGTCACATAACACATATCCTGTCTTTTCCCCTAACATGTGTAACCCTTACATGCACACATTACTTTTGTGCTTAGGTAATTAATATTTTTATGCACACTCTTTAGACTTTATCTGGCCATACATACAGTATGTATCAAGTTTTATGGCATTCCCATACATATAGAGTATTAATCAACTGTTTGGCAGTTTTGATTGTTTACCAGTGTAATAATGAGTTTTGTCTGGCTGCGACCTTTGTAGAGCAGCATCGCTCATATTTCATTCGATTTTTATTTATTTTTGGCATGGTCTACTTCATTGGATACTTTGACAGTGAAGATACAGTACAGACAGGAGGTTGTTATGTGCCTCTTATTGTGTATAGGATTGTCAGGTGGCTTCGTCAGGTGTCAGGTGGCTTCGGAAACCCCCGTCATCCCACACCTTTTTGACCATTTCTGTAACTTTCCGCAGCCGATTCAACGTTCACACCCACTTCACTCAGTGACTGGCCAGCTGTGCAGGGGTGAAAAATGAGCCAGTGATTGAACTTCTCTCTCTAGTTCTCTTTTTTCATTTGTTATACAACTATTTGTGGCACGTTTCATGTGAACAACACCATGAATGACTTTCAGGAGAGGCCGTCTGAACATTTGTGCCTTTTATTTTTGTCTTTAAACAATATTGTGTCTGTCTGCCCAACAGACTCAAAAATGCTGTAAAAGGGTAATTATACTGTTTGGTATACACAAATGTATACATGCAGATATGTTTATTGTATGTGCGCAAGTGCTCACATTAGCACAAAAAAGACTAACTGAAACCAGTATGCACACACATTTGCATGCCTATGCCAACTAGATCAAAAATAAACATAAAGAGACACATACATGCGCACAGATGCCCCTCAGTATTTCATGCTGCCAGGGTGGCTGGCTTATTTCCTCTATGCATATCCTTCCTTTGAAGTCTGCAGTGTAGCCCAAAGCTACATTCATATCTTACATGCAGGGAAAGATATACTTACTTTAGTCCCACGTCTACACTTTGATATAGAGGAAGTTTTTTTCCTCATCCTTCTGACCACATGAAATAGACCCAATATTACTCTGTGTTCGGCTAATGGCATCCTCTAATGTAAAAATATAAATATATCTTATCATACTGCAAGTGAGTTTAAAAAAAATTTAAATAATGATGAACAAATTTTTGAAATTGAAAACAAACAGGCAGTGATGAAGTATTATTGAGTGCAGACAGATATTATTGTTATGTGACAACTTATTATGATTATTTCGTTTTGTGAATTAGCTAACGTGCTGAAATAAGGCCCTGACAAACAAAATCGAAAGATGTCAATGAAAACTTTATTCCCTCAAGTGCACTTTATGCTAACTTGTCCTATACAATCTATCTGGCGTTTGTAACTTAATAACATATTAATGTTATTATTCCTATTGCCATTGCAGTACATATGACACTGCACTATCCTTAATCATAATGTTTTTATTCAATTTGACAACTATGGGGTTTGGATAATATTATGCGAGTCAATAAATGCCAAAGTCAGTTAGACTGTAAAAATATTCAGATGGAAATCAAGCCTTCCAGACTTCAAAGCCCATTTTGTTGCAGAGTCTCCTCCATTTTCATGACAGTAATTTAATAAAACATCATTCTCTGTTTTCCAGTAGGAGTCTCTACTTGCACTATTTCCACCACACCCTTTCTGACTTCTGTGTAAATGTGTTCAAGGAGAAAGAGTAGTAAATATACTGTCAAAAAACTTTTTGTAGATCCATTTAAAAATTATAACTTTACAAATAAGAAAATTTGAATGGTTGTACAGTTTCAAAAAACATGGCTAGAAGAAAACTGCTTTTGTCTATGACTAAAGGTTGAGCACTAAATTAGTGTTCAGTTGGGTTTACTCAAGTTATCTTCAAGCTGAATCCAAAGCCAGTCAGGGCATGGGCATGATTACAGCCAGTAACTAAAATAGTCAGCTAGCTAGCTGTTACGAAGGTATTTGGCCTAGTGTCTTCTGTAAATAAACAGAAACAGTGAAATCAGATAAATTAGTGATGAACTCTCAGTTTCGATCATCTAAAAACTTTTATTTATTAATTTAATTAATTTAAGTGTGTGGTTGTAACTGTCTATAGCTCCATGGGACTGACTGTTAGAGGTATATATGCTCATCCAAGATAAGAGATAGGATGGAGAAGATATTCCTTTATTAGTTCCACACTAGGGAAATTTGCAGTGTCACAGCAGCAAAGTGGACAGTACAAGAAAGAAAAACTGCAAAATGCCAATAAGAAATACTTTGAGAGATAAATAATAGATAACAATACAATAGAAATATAGAAATATAAACAATCTGTCTTTAAACATAAAAAAACCTTCACAAAATGGAACCATTTCCACTACTAATTGTTGTTTTGATGAATAGGGTTGAGTATATTTGTTTTATCATCTTCTTGGCAAGCAGGCTTTTGATTACAAAATTATTATTAAGGGCACGTTTTTGACATAATAATTTGATCATTTTCATTACCAATTAATATTTTGTTTGTTTGTTCATTCCTTTGTGAGTAAGTGAGTGAATGAGCGAGTGAGTGAGTGAGCGAGTGAGCAACTGAGCGTTTGATCTTATATCATTCATATCATATCAAACCAAGTCTTAAGCCTCAAGCAGACCAAAATGTGCCCGCAACAAGAATACTTAAATTTGTGCGCGCACAAGGGGACAGGGTGTCACAGGCTGGCCAGAAAACCTTATGGAACGGTTTGGATTTCAAGCCCTTTGACTGCTACAGTGTTACTTACATCAACAAGGGCATACCCAAGGTCCTCGCAAGCGCACAGACACACACAGACACACACACACGCACACACTCGAGCGCCCTGTGTCTCCTTTCTCTTATTGATCGCTCTGCTACAAGTTTACATCCACCCATAGTGATGCTGTCCTTACTTTACTCATAATGACTCATAATTAACTAATGTGAGGGGGTCTGACATTAAACTGGTACTTAATCTTGAAGACGACATTACACAGAGCACAGAATACTAATTGATATGGATAAAATACAACTCTAAGGAACAAATGTATATTTCTTTGAATATGCCGTATTATACTCATATCATGTTTGGTGGCTGCTTCAATGTCAGACACATGGACTTTTTTGGTTGCTGAAACTACATACCAGCAATAAGATGTTGTTGCATTGATACTTAATTACAAAAGATAAGACAGAGAAAATGTTCCACAGCAAACAACAGCATTAGATGTTTTTAAATAGATTTTTTTTACCTTAGTCTAGCCAGTTGTTTAAAAAAAGAATCACTTTTAGAAAGCTTCAACAGTCAACTTAGGCCCTATAATGGGAATAATGGATGTATTTTGAAGCAGGTGTTTAAGCGGTATCACCTATGTGAGAGTGATTATTTCTAACATCTCCTTAAAATTGACTTGAAAGTACATGTCTTTTAATGTCCTTTAAACACCCGTTTCCTTAATGCCATCAGTGGACCCTTTGGGGCTCTGTTTTTTTCTTCCCTAGCTGACTCTGTCTTTTTCTCTTGCTGCTGTGATACAGAATTGTAAATTGATTTTAATAGCTCTTCCACTTGACAGCCTTTATTACAGACTTGCCTCAAAGGGTGATTATCAAATGGGCAGCTGGATCATGTGGAGAGAGATGATTAGTGCAATGTATGAAACTTATTCTCTTTTTCTGAGAACTACTGTTTTTGTATAACTTTACTGAAGTCTTTTTTTGGGAAATATGGATTTTCAAATACAGACACATGAAGCTTCAGCACTAATGGAAAATCAGCACTTGCTGCTTGATTAAGAAATGCGGTGTAAGACATTTCAACTCTGGTGTTGTGATGCCTCTCTGTCTGCAAAAATATTTGTACTGACAAGGCACACATGCTTATGTGATGGTAAACAGATATTTTTACTGTATTTCATGGATTTGTGGTTGTTGTAATATCCAAGGACATACTGTGTAAAACCTAGTCCTATATATCCTCTAACTGCTAGAGATTTAACTGCTGTATAGAAACAATAACATGCGTGGACAGGTATAAGGGAAAATTTAAAATGAGATGTGAAATGTAGTATGAAATGTGCTGCCCAGTGTTTCCTGTGGGTTGAGAATTTCCTTCATGATGGTGGATGTGGTGTTTAATCCTGTCTCAAGATATTGGCACTCATTTCTGAAAAACAAGGAAAGCTGCACTGAAGACAAGAAGTGTTTTCTTCATTTTTAAGGAAATTAAGTGCTGAATCTGAGACAAAATGACTATGGATAAAATAAATGCAAAGTAGTTAAATGGCTAAGTAAATTCAAAACACAGAGCTATGAATGCATGATGTAGAGAAACAATGAGTGCAAAGACCATCTGTAAATAAAGTGGTCAGTTCCAACTCCATATCCAATTGATCCTTTAATGTGAAGTTCAGTTTCCACAAAGGCAACAGATGCACCTGGTTGTGATGATTGATTGGCTACTTTTTATTTTTGACTGAGGGAGAGAACAAATGCAGAGCCAGACTTGGTGACACCAACCTGGGATCGGTGGCACCTTAGTGTTTTGGCTTTTGTTGGCAGCTACATGTTAAACATTTTACTAATGTGGCTTTTACCATGAAAACTTCTCAGTCAGTGGCAGCATCATATCCAAACAGATCACTCAGCTTTAACTTATCAAAATACTTGTTTGAAATTATTGAAACAACAATTATAGATTCTACTTGGTATTTGGCTTCACACATTAGCTAATATCTCTACTAATACCAAATAAATATTTTGACTGCTACTAAAACTATTCAAATAATGTTTTCATAAAACTGTATTTATTGATAGTAGCTGCATGCGCACACACACACACACACA